CCCCTCCGGCCGTGGCCGCAGTCTAAGCCCGCGTGGCACAGCTCCCCAGTGGCCGTGGCTTGGCCTGCTGTGGCGGGGAGGTGGCCGCGTGCTGGGAACCGAGCACATGTGTGCTTCCCTGGCCTTGTGACATTTTCAGGAGCTGCTTTTGGACATAAAAAAATAATTTCTCTCCAAACACACCTGAACAGAAAGTTTCCAGAAGTGCTGTCTTTGGGGAAGGATGTATTTCGTATTTTACTGAGTCTCCCTTAAAGTACTGACGGTGTGAAGTCGTGTTCTGGAGGTGCTGGCCTCGGAGAGCGGGTCCCGGGGTTCACTCTGGGAACGGTGTCCCCAGAGCTGCCCTCTCAGCGGCTCCGGCGAGTTCCCAGGCGGGTCTCCCCGCGACACAGGGGCGCGGGCTGCATCCAGAGGGCGGGTTTCCTGTGAAGAAGGGAGCGGGAATGAGGACACTCGCCTGGACGCCAGCGGGCGGAGGGGCTGCCCCGGAGGGACGGGTTTCCGGGGAGGGGCCTGCGTGGCCACAGCCGGGCGGCCGGGGGAGCTGCCCCTGCCGAGGGGGTCAGTGTGGAGAACCCCGGCGTGGCCGCTGCCCCTTCCGGGGCAGAGGCCGCCCTGATCCGTCTTCTCTTTGGGAGGGGCTCGCTCCTTTGTGGGGTGGTTCATTTTTGTTGATTTGGAGTAACTCGGTAGAATTTGAAAGGGACCAGGGATTCCACAGTGGCCTCCACCTGCACACCCCACGTCCCACGCCGACGCCCCCACAGCCTCTGCCGGGCTGCGCGGCCTGAGGTGGTGCCGGCATTTTCACTTCCAGAGCGGGTTTAACGGTGACTTGCCCCCCACCCAGCCCCATCGGCCATTCCTGGCCCCGCGTTGCCCCCGCCACGGTTTTTGTTCTTTCCCCGTCACATCCCTTCCCTTGCTCGGCCAGGCACGCTTTGTCCCAAGACACGGCACCTTCTCCTTGGGGGACAGTGGGGGGCTGGGCATCTGCGCCCCGGCCCGCTGAGGGCTGCCCTCCTTGTACGGGCTGTGCTGCCGTGGGGTGCCCGGCGGGTAGAGGGGCTGTGGCGGGAGGCCCCGCCTCCGAGCCACGGGGTTCGTGTCATGCGCCCCCAGCTGAGGAGCTGCCGCCCGCAGCCGTTCCTGCCTCACCTCTCAGTCCACGCCCGACACGCGGCTCCTGCGTCCCCTGCCAAGCCAGACCCTCCCGCGTGTGGGGGCCGCATCCCTGGCGTGTCTGGGAGTGTGGACAGCCAGAGGGGCAGCCCCGGCCTGCGGGTGGGGGCAGGGCTGTGGGTGCTGGGTGGGGCGGAGGGGGTACCGCCCCGCTGGCAGCGGGGCTCTGTGAGGTCGCACGGGCGCTCTAGGAACTGACCACGCAGCCCCGCAATATGGCTGCCAGCCGCCCCGCGGGGCCAACACCAACACCCGAGGGGCTCGGCGCTCCGGGCCGCTCCCAGGTCCTGCAGCGTGATGGTGTCTAAGCAAGTTCAGAAGTGACAGTTCCAGGGGCCTCTGACGACACACACGGGCATCTTGAGTGGGCGCCGGGGGGAGGGCGGGAGGGGCAGGGGCCCGGGGTGTGGAGCCTGGCGAGGCCGAGCCCGGGGAGGAGTAAGAGCGAGCCCCAGACTCAGGAAGACACGGGGTGCCCGCCGGGCGGACAGACGGGAGGAGCGCGCGCTCTCCAGGGAGGAAAGTGGGTCCCTCGCGGAGGGCTGAGCCCTCGCCCCAAGCATCCAGCCTGCACCTGGCTGGAAGCCGCTGCGCGGGGGCCTGGGCCTGCCCCGCCTCTCTGGGCTCCGGGCCGTGGTCAGGGACGCGGCGTCGGAGACGTGCCCGTGCCGCCCGCGGAGGCGCAGCGCGTCAGACCCGGGAGTACCCGCACTTCACGGCCAAACCGCGCGCGTTTCAATCACGCTGGAAGTGAAAGTGGCCTTGGAATCAGCTTGCTGGGTCCGAAGAAGGCCCTCGCCGCCCCCAGCCCTGCGCCGCAGCCCCCGTCCGCCCTCCGTGTGCCCGTCCGTCCCTCCACCGCGGCCGGGCCCGGCCGGGCTCGTCGGCATGAGTCCCCGGGCTCTCAGAACGTGCATCTGTCTGCCTGACGGGAGCCGGGGGGGCACGCTTGGGAGACTGGCACAGCAGCTGCCCCGGCCACGCGGCCTCGAGCGGAGGCCAGAGGCAGAACTGTCTGGCTGGGCTGCGAGCTCCCGCCGACCAGGGGGCTGGCCCCGGAGCCCAGGGGACGCCGGCTGCACTCCGGGCTGCGAGCTCCCGCTGACCCAGGAGCCCAGGGGGCGCCGGCCTCCACACCCGCTGCACCCGCCGCCGCCCGTCCCTGCCCCAGAAGCCAGGCGGGGCCCTCGCGCGCCCCACAGGGCTGGTCCCCACCCTCCCTCGCCCTCTGCCCCCGCCCAGTCGGGGTAGACAGGCCGCTGCTGGGGCCTTCATCCAGAACCCCCCCCGCCCCGGCCGACGGGTCCACTCCCCGCCGCCCGCAGGCACCCGGACACAAGCGTCCTCTGTGTGTTTTTTAGCAGCTGCTGACCCTCAAGCCCAAACAGAACCAGAACGCCTGGCGCGGGCCGGAGCTGGCGTGGCCGGGGCTGCTGCTTCGGGGGACTTGACCTGGCTCTGCTTTAACCTGCTCTCAGCGAGGGGGGTTCCGACCGTCCTCCGGGGCTGTGGCGGCGGGCAGCCGCCCTGAAGGGGAGGCCCCAGCCACAGGCCGGCTCGCGCTCCCGGGGCCCCGGGCCATGAGCAGCGAGGGTGCGGGTGTCTGCGGGGCTTGGCGTGTGCGCGGTCCATCCCCAGATGCGCCTGTGTGTGCACGTGTTTGCCGTGGGTTGCTGTGTGCACGTGTGTTTACATGTGTGCACGAGGGAGGGGAGCATGTGCCCCGTGCGTGTGCGGTGGACCCGCCTCTGCCCGCCCCCTGCGCTCCGGCTCCGTCCGTCCGTGATTGATGGGGTTCAGGAACCGACATGTGCCCGGCGCTGCCCCTGACCCCGCGCTCCGGCTGGGCTGCCACGTTTCCTCCCGCCCCGGCTCGTCACCATCTAGCAGCAGATTCTGACGCGTGCAAATTAATAATCGCTCCGTCAGAATGAACACGGCGACCTCTGCGCGCGACGGGGTGGGAGGGGGCGAAGCCGCTCGGGAACACGGGATCGCAGTTCAACAAGAGAAGCAGCACTTTGTGGTGCGTGTGCTGTGTGTGTGGCGTTTGTGCGAGGTGTGTGTGTGGGGTGTGTGTGTGAGGTGTGTGTGTGGGGTGTGGTGTGTGTGGTGTGGCGTGTGTGTGAGGTGTGTGGGGTGTGGCGTGTGTGGTGTGAGGTGTGTGTGAGGTGTGTGTGTGGGGTGTGGCGTGTGTGTGAGGTGTGTGTGAGGTGTGTGTGTGGTGTGGCGTGTGTGGTGTGGCGTGTGTGTGAGGTGTGTGTGGAGTGTGTGTGTGAGGTGTGTGTGTGTGGTGTGGCGTGTGTGTGAGGTGTGTGTGTGGGGTGTGGCGTGTGTGGTGTGGCGTGTGTGTGAGGTGTGTGTGAGGTGTGTGTGTGGTGTGGCGTGTGTGTGTGGCGTGTGTGTGAGGTGTGTGTGGAGTGTGTGTGTGAGGTGTGTGTGTGGGGTGTGGCGTGTGTGTGAGGTGTGTGTGTGGGGTGTGTGTGTGAGGTGTGTGTGGGGTGTGTGTGAGGTGTGTGTGTGGGTGTGTGTGAGGTGTGTGTGTGGGGTGTGTGTGAGGTGTGTGTGTGGTGTGGTGTGTGTGTGAGGTGTGTGTGGGGTGTGTGTGAGGTGTGTGTGTGTGGTGTGGCGTGTGTGTGAGGTGTGTGTGTGGGGGTGTGTGAGGTGTGTGTGTGAGTGTGGTGTGGCGTGTGTGTGAGGTGTGTGTGTGGCGTGTGTGGGGTGTGGCGTGTATATGTGTGTGAGGTGTGTGTGAGGTGTGTGTGAGGTGTGAGGTGTGTGTGTGAGGTGTGTGTGGGGGGTGTGTGTGAGGTGTGAGTGTGGTGTGGCGTGTGTGTGAGGTGTGTGTGGGGGTGTGTGAGGTGTGTGTGAGTGTGGTGTGGCGTGTGTGTGAGGTGTGTGTGTGGTGTGGCGTGTGTGTGGTGGTGTGGCGTGTGAGTGTGTGTGTGAGGTGTGTGTGAGGTGTGTGTGAGGTGTGAGGTGTGGTGTGGGGTGTGTGTGAGGGTGTGTGTGGGGTGTGTGTGAGGTGTGTGTGTGGTGTGTGTGTGTGAGGTGTGTGTGGGGGTGTGTGTGAGTGTGTGTGTGGTGTGGCGTGTGTGTGAGGTGTGTGTGGGGTGTGTGTGAGGTGTGTGTGAGTGTGGTGTGGCGTGTGTGTGAGGTGTGTGTGTGGCGTGTGTGGGGTGTGGCGTGTATATGTGTGTGAGGTGTGTGTGAGGTGTGTGTGAGGTGTGAGGTGTGTGTGTGGGGTGTGTGTGTGAGGTGTGTGTGGGGTGTGTGTGAGGTGTGTGTGTGGCGTGTGTGTGAGGTGTGTGTGGGGGGTGTGTGTGAGGTGTGAGTGTGGTGTGGCGTGTGTGTGAGGTGTGTGTGGGGGTGTGTGAGGTGTGTGTGAGTGTGGTGTGGCGTGTGTGTGAGGTGTGTGTGTGGCGTGTGTGGGGTGTGGCGTGTATATGTGTGTGAGGTGTGTGTGAGGTGTGTGGTGTGTGGGGGGGGTGTGGCGTGACGGGCCGCGCGGGGGAAGGGACACAGAGCAGGGCCGTGGGGGGCTCCTGGGGTGCGAGGGCTCCTTGCTCGCTGGCCCCGCTCGTCTCCTCGGGAGAGACTGACCCTTCCCGGGACGCTCAAATCCGGGGCTCCGGCAGGCGGGGCCCCGTCACGCCCGTGGCCAGGCCCCCGCCCCGGCCGTCCCGCCCCGCCCCGCCCCCGCCCCGCCCCCGCCCCGCCCCCGCCCCGCCCCCCGCCCCGCCGTCCGGGCGGCGTCCCGGCCCCGGCTCTCGGCGCCCGGCGCCCCGCGCTCGCTCACACGCTGTCTCCCGCAGGCGTCATCTCCACGGCCGACGCGCTGGACCGCGAGGCGGCCGCCGCCTACTGGCTGACCGTGCACGCGGCCGACCGCGGCGCCGCGCCCCGGCACGCCCGCGTCGAGGTGTACCTGGCGGTCGAGGACGTCAACGACAACGCGCCGCTGCCCTCGGAGCCGCTGTACCGGCCCGCCGTGCCCGAGAACTCGCCGCGGGACGCGCCCGTCGTGCAGGTCCAGGCCGAGGACCCCGACCCCAGCTCGCGCGGGCGGCTGGCCTACCGCATCGCCAGCGGGAACCCCCAGAACTTCTTCGCCATCAACGGCCGGACAGGTGAGGCGCCCCCGGCCTGCCGGCGGCCGCTCCGGCCGCGCCGCTGCCCCCCGGGCCGGCCCGGCGCTCACCGGCCCGCGTGGGATCCGGCACATTGCACGGGGCGGCAGGCCAGAGCCAGGCTCACCCTCGCCCGCGCGGTGCAGGCTGCGCCCCTCTGCCCCTGACCTCTCCGGGACCCCGCGCTGGCCCTCCCGTGAGAGCAGCCCCTCAGCGGCCTCCACCGCGCGGCCGCCGCCTCGAAGAGAAGAGGGTGGGGGCACCAGAGCCCGCGGGGTGCCCTCTGGCCGGGATAAACGGGCTGCTTGCTTGGGCAGGGAGGCGGCTGTGCACCCGTGAGGACTCGCGGAGTGGCCATGGCTAAGGGGGCACACACGGGGGGCAGGAGGGGCATGGTGGGATGTGCAGGGACACACGGGGGCACATGGGGGACACGCAGGATGCAGAGGGACATACGGGAGATGCAGGGGCATGGAGGAACACGGAGCGACATGGAGGGACATGGACGGATGCAAAGGAACATGCAAGGATGTGGAGGGATGCGCAGGGGGGAGTGGGGGACACACAGGGATGCACAGGGACATGGAGGGATGCATAGGGACATGGAGCTGGCTGGCAGGCGGGTCCCGCTGCCCACCCCTGAGTCTGGTGAGAGGAATCCGAGTCTCCTCCAGCCACTTGGTTGGTTTCTGTTCTCTGCGAGATCTCCTGTCCTCTGAGGCGTCCGTCGTCCTGAGTGTGCACTTGCCAGATCACTCGCTTTCGCTTGGTCTCGCTGTGAGAACATGGTGGGCTGGGAGCCGGGAAGCAGGGGTATCTGCTGGGAAACCAGCTGTAGACGCAGTTCTGTGGCTCGGGGTCGAGTGTCTTAGGGCCCAGGGCGTCTCTGGGTGCCAGGGTCTCTGCTGAGCCCAGCCAGGGGGGCTCGGGGCGGTTCCAGCCTGGGAGGTGCGGCCGCTCTCCGCAAGGCCGTGCTGGGCCCAGTGGCTGGGGAGCAACAGGTTGCTTTGTTCTCTCACCCCTCTGTGGCTCAGTACGTCTCTGGATTTGGGGTCCTAACTGTGCCCAGGACACAAAGAAATAAGAGACTTCTCCGCCGTGACAGATAGTCCCCAGCCAAGCGAGCGCTCGTGGGGACCTGCAGTGCGGAGCCGCGCCTCGGGAGTCTCCAGGTGGACCCGGCGGCGTCTGGAGGACCGAGGTCTGGCACTTGCCAGCGCGCCCTCTGAATGCGTCCTGGTGGCTTCCCGGTGTCTGTGACTGCGCGGCCTGAGGCCGGGGAGGGGTGCGCCTCAGCAGCACCCCCTTGCCGCTCGCTGCAGCATCCACACAGTCTTCCCCGTTGTAGAACAAGGGGTTGCGTTTTCATTTTCAATGGCCCCTCTGTGTCCACAAGGCTTCCCTCTGAGCCTCTGTGTGTTGTCTGCAGGCATGGAGGGCGGGGCGGGCTCCTCCCCGGCTCCGCCCACCTGCTCCCCCCAGCTTCCCCCCCCAGCTCCCCCTAGCTCCCCCCCCAGCTCCTCCCCGCTCCCCTCTGCTGCCAGGGGCCCCTGGCTGGGCTCTGCCTCCCACAGCTGAGCCATCACAGAAGTGAGAACAGCAAGTGACTGGAAAACCAAGAGTCTACAAGGAGATTCGAACCCTTGGCTGCTGTGCGCGCCTTCCGCCTGCGTCCATGAAGGCGGCTGGCACTGGACCGTGTCCGGACCCCGTCCCGGGGAGCCCGCCTCTGAGCCTCGCGCGTCCAGCCCCGGGTCTGCACCCCAACCGACCGCGGTGGCAAGGTGTGGATGGGTGGATAGGTCGGTAGTGACCCTCCATCTCCAGACCTCACCCTTCCGTTATGTCAGGTTGTGGCGTGAGCGGCGTGGGGGACGGACACGCCGCTGTGTGGGGTGTGCCCTCCGTCTCTCAGTGGGGAAGGATGGGGCCGGCTTTCCAGCAGGCAACGCTCAGCAATCAGCCATCCCCGTGTGAAGCTCTCGCCTGCAACATCTGGAGAGCTCAGCGTAAACCCTCACAGACGGGCCTCCCCTTGCCTCCTTGGCCTGCCGGCCACTGCCCCGAGTGCTCCGCCAGGGCACAGCGGCCGGGCAGCCCTGGTGGGGCAGCCTGTGCGAGCCCGTCCTCGGCCCCTTGGCTCTGTTCCCCGATGTACAGGCTCCAAAACGTGAAAAAATGCCCCTTTCTGCAAGGCTGTTCATGGGGGCAGCCGGTGTCCTCCGGACAGTGTGTGGAGCTGCTGACATGTCTGTCACCCCCGCCCCGAGGGTGTAGCCCCACGCGGGAAGGCCCTGGGCTGGACAAGGCCCCGGCACGGTGCGTGCGACCTGCAGGGCCCCGGCGGGCAGAGCGGGCCGATGCAGGCGGGTGACCACTTGCAGCTCCCTCTGCGGCCCTGATGGCTGTGGACTCTGTGTGGGGCCCGGGGCGCCCAGGGCCAGTCTCCGCCACAGCCAGTACCACGCTGCTCTCCCGCGCTGGCGCCGTCCCCAGTGTGCAGACCCCCGCGTCTCCGCTCGTCCTCAGCCCTGCGCAGCTGCCTGAGGATGGCTCCAGTCGCCTCGCGGGCACCAGCGGCTGAATCGGCAAGTGCTCCGAGGGCCGCGGGAGCACGTGGGGTCAGGCCACCTGTCAGCCCGCAGAGCCAGAGGCCACAGAGCAGGGCCGTGACACCGCGTCCAGGCGTCCTGCGTTTCCCAAGCGGCTTGTGGTCCTGGCTGGGCCTCCAGAAGCTTGCACGGCCTGTCTCTCCCGCCCTCGCGCAGGGATCTTTCCAAACAGCTTCGCCTTCGTTTTTAGGAAGAAAGGAGTGGAGAGAGGGGAGGGCGTCCTCCGCCGCAGGCAGAGCTCACGCCGTCTGAGCCCGAGCTTCTCTTCAACAGTGAGATGCTGTTCCGCGGGGTTCAGAAGGTACCGTCGCGTGGGAGAAGCCGGCCTTGTCGGGAGCCGGGGTCTGTGTGCTCTCACTCAGCCTCCGTGTGGGGGTGGGCGCGGGGCCCCGCCGGCGCGCGCTCGGTGACGCATCCTCAGACGGAGCCCAAGCCTCCCGCGAGCCTGGCTGTGCTCAGTGGCGCGTCACAGGGGCCGCCTGCCTCACATCTTTGGGGATCTGTCTCCGGGCCGTGCTTGGGAGCCTCGCGTGCGCGTGGGGCGAGTTTCAGCGCGGACCGGGCGGCTGTCTTTGGTTCTCAGGGCGCGAGCTTTGTCTTCCCACAGCCTGCCCGCCTGGACTCGCAGGAATTAATTTGACTGCTTATGATATTATTTAATTTTCAGTAATTACTCAAGCATAGATAACTGCAGACACCGTGCAGCCGGCAGATGGACCCGCGCTTGTGTGTGTGATTGGGAATAGCCCCACAACGCAAAAGTAGATTTTAATATTCAGCATCTAAGGGGTTGTGAATATTACAAAGTGCCCACCCCCTCGCTGGCAGCCAGCGGCGTGCAGGCTTGAATGTAAGAATTCTGGTGCAGATTTCCACCCTCTCAGCGCCTGGGAGGCCCTGCGTCGCACGAGCCCATCTTAGGTATCACCTAAGGGATACTCTTTCTTTCCTATTAACGTGTGATGTTTATAGGAAACACTAATTGCAACGTGTGTAAGGAAATTTAATTTTATTGAGATTTGAGTATCTTCTTTTGTCATGACTTGCATACGCCAATGAAGGTGGTGAGATTCAAGAATGGCATTGGAATGCTGATACATGAGACTGTCACAGAGAAAACAAGACAAAACACCTGTTTTCTGATTTAAACTGAAGGCTGAGTTCAGTCTCTGTCTTCAGAGAATATAAGGAACGTCCCTCCCGTGCTGTGAGAGAGGGCCAGGCCGACTCTGACGGTGCCGAGCTCTGGCTCCAGTAGAGTCCTGGGCCCCCGACCTGCTGTTCTCCAGATCAACAGCTGAAGGCAGAGTCTTTGACCCGGAAGCCCCAGGATCAGTTGGCATTTTTGCTGCTGTAGCAGCTACTGATTTCTTTGAACACTATCTGACTTGGTCCATGACATCCTTTCAATGTCTTAATAAAACTTCACCAAGGAAAGAAATAAGAAGGGGAACAGAACAGTGAAAGCAGAGAGGAAAACAGAGAAAAAAACAGAAAACAGTCTTGGTTTCCAAGGCGCCCGCAGGGAGCCCCGAGCGTTTCTGAGGCCCTGGGGCTGCTGGCATCTGGCGAGGGCTCCGACTTTCCTCTTGGAGGGGGGACGCCGTCGTGGCACTCCTCCTGTGCTGGGGCTCGGCGAGACAGAGGAGGAGACCCAGGGCTAGCCCCAAGGGCTCAGAGTCTGGTCCACGGCAAGACGGGCGCTGGCCTCCATCCCAGGCCCCGGCCTTGAGGACGTGACAAGGCTGGCACCACCCGTGGCGCCTGGAGGCTGATGTGCAGACCATAGATGAAGCTGCCCAGCTGTCAGGGGAGCGGCCCCAGCCCAGAGGGCCCTGGGGAAGGCCCTGAGACGCCATGCCAGAGGTCACCATCTCTGCATTGTTCCAAGTGGGGTGGAATCTGTGCAGGGAAGAAGCAAAACAGAGGACTTGGGGGCATGCATGTTTATTTCGAGCCCTAACTCGGGCCTCAGGGAGGCCTGGGGAAGTGGAGGGAACGGCCGTTCATCCAGGCGCACACCTGCTCTCTGTCCCCACCTGCTCGCCTGGCTCTGGGCGTGACCTGCCCAGGAGCACCTCCTTGGCCTTGCCCTCTGCCAGCCTGGCAGCCCCGCGGCCGCGAGTGCTGATTACAGACAGCGCGTCGCCCTCCGGTTGTCCATGCGCACACGTGCCCTGCAGCCCCTGTGGGCAAGGGAAGCACCTTGCAGGGACGCCGCCCGCGGAGACCGGGGATCAGACCCCCACATCTGTGGCCACAGTGGGCCTGGGACCCTGGGAAGAAACACCCACTGTCACCCAGAAACTTTCTCTGTCCTGTGATCAGAGCAGAAAGCTTGAGACAAAGCCCGCGTTCTCGTCCACGGTCACATCCACGCTCTCCCAT